GTGTTTTGCTCCTCCTTTCCTATCAAACATCTATCGTCCTCATCTCTCCTTCTTTTTTTCTTTTTTTTTTTACTCTCTTGTAACACCTCTAATCTTCCGCACTTATATGACTTAATTGTGTTGCAAGTGCCGTGAAACTTTCACTAAAACTGAATCTATATTTCGGCAGACGCGAGTTCCCCGTCGGACTCCGGAGTGGACTCTGACATTCCGGGCATCATGAGCGCCCTCAGCTCCACACAGCAGCAGATTGTGCGACAGCAGGAACAGCAGTCACAGCAGCGACAACAGCAGCAGCAGCAGTCTGAGGGCGCGGAGAAGGCTGGGGAGTTGTTGGAGGCAGGCCGGGGGCTTGTCGGGAGTGGCTCCGCAGAGGAGGAGGGGAAGACGAGGAAAGAGGAGGAGGAGAAGAAGAGGAAAGAGGAGGAGGAGGAGGAGGGAGCAGATTTTGTCTTAGCCCCGGAGGAGCTGCGGTGTGCGGAGGTGTCGCCGGGGAACGAGCCCCGGCCTGTGTCCTCAGGGGAGAGGTTCGAGCCCGGAGTGCTGCAGGAGGCGACGGTGAGCCAGCTAGAGGAGAGCGTGCTGGACCTGAGCGAGCAGGACGGGAGCCACCTACTGCGCGACCTGACATCCGTGACCTCCGTGACCCCAGCCTCCTCCTCCTCGCAGGACCAGGTGATCGAGGTGGCGGCCGCGGAAGAGGACGATGACGACGACGACAACAACGAGGTGTCGGTGGCCGACCTGCCTCTGCCCGACGTGGTGAGTCTCGGGGCGGAGGAGGAGGCGGGCCGCTCGCTGACGGAGATGTTAGCCAACGTGGAGCTGGAGGACAGCGAGGTAGACAGTGACGACAACGACACGCTCACCTCTAGGACGTCCCAGCAGGACTACTCGGGCCTGGCCACCACGGTGGAGGACATCGCCGGCGAGAGGGAGGAGGAGGAGCAGCGGCGTCGCCCCAGCAACCAGGGCGAGGAGGAAGAGGAGGGGGAGGAGGAGGATCGGAGGACGCTCCGCGGGAGTGTTGATGATAATGACAATGAGAGCCTACGCAAAAATTCCTACCCGTCCCCAGTGGCCCCAGGCGGGCCAAACCTAGCCATGGAGGATGTGGAGGGGGAGGTGGGGAGCCTGGTCTTCCACACAGACCAGGGGGCCGGGGGCGACGGGCTGGACACAATGTCAAGGTCGTCCTCGGTGGACCCGGAGAAGCCCAAGATCGAGCTGGACTGCGACAACACGGAACCCATTGATGTCTAGCGGGAGGAGGATGAGGCGAGGGGGGAGGGCGGGGGAGAGGCCTTCTGGTCTCTCTCTCTCTCTCTCTCTCCCTCCCTCCCTTTCTTTCACTCTCATCTCTGCGTCTGTTCTCGTCTCGTGGTCGGCGGTCACACCCACCCGCCCGCCACCCCCCCA